CCATAAATCTCAAGCGTCTTCAAGACGAAGGTGATAGTAGAGAATCCATTCGAAACATTCGAGCCGACATGCGTTTTAAGTAGGCTCGCCTAATGAGAAGAAAGCGAATTGGTGAAAATTGAGGCAGCGAACATTTTGCTGTACAACTGTCGACATGATTTATATTCGGGGAAATGTACGTGATGAGAAAAAGAGAAATGAGAGAAAGAGAAAGAGAGAGAGAGAGAGAGAGAGAGAGACATGCGCATGCATGAAACACGTGTAACATAACATGTGTAACTTGCACGACGAATCGATATAGTCTGTAACGGTAACGTTTGAAGGCGTAAAAGTAATTTCGCATAAAACTAACGAGAGAACACCGGGAACGCGCGTTTCCATTCTTTTTTTTTCCCTCTCTTCCGCCCGTTCGATACGTTTCCCCTTTTCTGTTTTCGCCGTTCATTAAATGGTCGTTACGGTCATTTTCCCTGTTCTATTATCTTCGTCGCGCGCACGTGGACCGTACGTTAACTTTTCTCACTCATCGGCTTTAAACTGCAGCTGGTGCTATACGAACGCGCAACCGAGCCGCGTTCGCTATACTATCTTTGCTCACGCGCCTGCAACGGATTTATTCGCGAACTGCTGCACGCAGTTCGAAACTGTGCTAAGCTCGTATATCACGGAAGGGGGGGAGGGCGGGGGACGGGTGGAGGTGCTAATATCTGAAATGTGCGCAATCTAGCGTCGCACAAGTTACGAGAGCCGTACTTTACTAAATTAAATATGAAAATTAATGATTTTAAATATCCTCTTTTTTTTATCGCCGACGGGAGAGCTTCCGCTCTGGAGCGCCCGACAGTTTGCTATTTAGGAGAATAATTTCATGGCTTAAAATAAAACAGGAATTCGCTTGTAATTAATGGAAAAGTTATTATTATAATTAATGTCCTCTATCTTTTTAAGCAATTAAATTAAGTATTGAGCGACGGCTCATATATAGAAACACCGATTTCACGGCCGATGAGAAAGTGATACCTCGGCGGTAAAAAGAATCAAAGCGCTAATCGTTTGATGTATATAGTTGTTTAAATTTGCGAGTTTCTTTTGATTGATTACGCAAAAGCGCTTTCACCGCGAATGATGTATCCTGCACAAACGTGAATTAATTAACAGCCGTTTCGCGAAATATTTCGAGGAGAGCGCGAGTATATTCCGCGTGTTTCTGCGCCTTTTCTTCGGGCCGACTCGAGTAGCAAACCGCCGTCTGTCTGTCAGACACAGCCGCAAATCGTCGTTCCCAGGACGAATCGATCGTTGACCTAAACCGGTCTTTCCGAACGAGACTCGCGAGAGAAAGGAAGTAAACGAAGATCGGGATATATGTCATCTGTCGAGACTTTCGGAGACGGCGGGATCCATTCACACGGTGAGAAAACGACGCGGGG